CCGGTTTCGTAGAAAGTTAGTAGTTCATTAGACGGTGTTTCCACTTCGGAATGTTTTACCTCACCAAGCGCCAGTTGCACGCAATGCTTTGCCGCTAACGGTTCATGCGAGTTCAAATCATTGATGTACCTAACCGTTTCTAAAACCGCGCGTCGCACGTGACCATGCTGCTTGTCTACCGCTGTCCATTGTAAACAGGGGCACCAATGTGAGGGGATGTGCGCGTCCTTACACGAACGAACCGCCGGGATCTCGGTCAACATGCTCTTACCATTTATCAAACCTTCTGGCTCTTTTGGATACACCAGGATGTGATTCAACATTGCGTACGCATCGTACCAACTTGTGAGACGTTGGGTGTTGGTTTTGAGGTTCTTGTCTAACTTTGGGTATTTCTGTTTGAACCATTCTGGTAAGATCATGGTAAACAAAGGTAGTCTTTCTTCGAGTTTACCCTGCACGGTCTGTCGAAAGTCACCATATCTCCAGCCATGGTCTCCCATTACAATAAGTAAAGTATTCTTCAGATAGCCTTTATTTTTGAATTCTGTCATGAATTTGAGTAAGTCTTCGTCAATATATTGAGCTGCGTTGAAGTCGCTGTGAGATGCGTCTAGAAATGAAAATAATGTTGGTTGTTCTATCTCCCACCAGAGAATGTTCAGGAGCGTAGCTAGAGGGGTGTGTGGAGGGGTGTACCCATTCATCACGGACTCGGCAAATGTCTGCTTGACTCGGCAAAACGTTGTCGGCAAATGCGAATGTTAATAGGGTGGGTTGGAATAATGTCATCCTTCCATCGTAGGTAGTGCTCCATGATCAGAAGCGCGCTTATACTAAGTCTTCGATTCGATCAGTGTGAATTTCCATAAGTCAGTTCAGCTCTCATAGGGTAAAGCCCTCATATGGACAATTTTAGCCCCACTTGAGATCTCACCTAGCTGGGCTGGCTCGTTTCTTATATGAACACAAATCGAATTTTATATGCGATAACAAAAGGAATACCGGTTAGTTTAACTCATGTGCACTGGGAACAAAATGTGAAATCCATACTATGAGATTTGCAATAGACCTTTCCCCTTTTGAGTGAAATTTTGATCTAGACAAGCCTGGACAAAAATTTCATCACAGCTTGAAAGAGCACGTTAAAATTAGTAATATTGCAAAGTTTCGTTGCGAAATGTTGTAAAATGCGGATAATACAGCCTTGCGAAATTTGTAATTTTCAGTCATTTTGCATTACAAACGGGAAATTGATAATCGGATGATCAAACTGATTACCAATTTCCCATTTGTAATACAAAATGACTGAAAAACGGCAAATTCGCAAGGCTATATTATCCGTATTTTACAACATTTCGCAACGTAACTTCAGAATATTACTAATTTTGTGATGCTCTTTCAAGCTGTGATGAAATTTTTGTCCAGGCTTGTCAAGATCAAAATTTCACTCGTAAGGGGAAAGGTCTATTGCACCACTAAATCCATATAGTATATCCATACTATTTCGATACTATATCCATAGCATGGAAACATACAATTATATTATGGATAATCAAAAATATATTCTTTTTCCAATAAAGCTTCATACAGTTTCAATTCTATGGATTTTTAAATTTTTTTTCCAGTGATGACCAGATCCTCCTTACCTGTAAAATGAAAAAGGAATTTTCTCCTGTCAGGATATTGTTCATAAAATTTCCTCGCCAGATCAAAGTGATAGTTATATATTTTCTCGCTGCCATAACAATATCTATTGGTTATAAGATCTCGTTTGCTGTGTGCTGCCAGAAGAAATGCTCTGGGATAAAAGTCTGTTGGAGGGTCTTTGAAGCCAAGTAATCTGTAAGTGAATGAACCCACGTCTGGGGCATCTTCGACATATGATGTGATGTAACCGTGTTCTGTAACGATAAAATGTAGGCTAAACATTGGATAATCTAATGCCCCGTGAGACCAGGACGAAGTTAGAGTGTTGTTTCGGTCTTAATGTTATCTCTATGAGAGTACATAGATTAATCCTTAAGGTTACAGAACACCTTTGAGTGTTAATTTTGCCTAAAATTTTTTTATTGGTTTCCATGAAAGCATTAAGCCCTGTTTAAACGGATCCAACATTGTTGGGCCAACATCATCCAACATTGTTGAAATAATGGCTCAAACGGCTTCTTTTTCAAATATTTTGTCAACACTAGGTTTAGGGTTTGAGTAAAGCTTATCTGAACCAAAAAGATTTGAAAGAGAAGCAGTCATATCTAGTATAGTAACATTGTTGGATGATGTTGGTCCAACAATGTTGGATCCGTTTAAACAGGCCTTTAGACTAGTTCTACTATCTGACCAAGTTTGGACGAAAAATGTTGAAAACTCGCGGAGTTATTTAATAAAATACATTTCGCTTGCAATAAGAAAAAACATTGAAAATGTAATATTCAAATTCAATTTTTTCCCGAAAAATTTTACGGCAATTACTGATTTTTAAACGAGTTGTGCTCCTGCGGGTTTTAACGAATTTTTCTCAAATTTTCACAGGACATAGCTAAAGACGTCAGTTTCAAAACTATGTTCGGCTTTGTTCTAATTCTGGATATTTTAATAATAAGGAGCAATTCACACAAACGATTCAGAAATATATTGCAGTCGTCAAAGAAATCGTATATCAGCGGAATGACGAAATAAACAAAAATTTCCGAACACTATTTTTTAGAACAACTATTTTACTGTATAAAAATGATATTTTCATAAATATACCTTAAAACCAGCAGGAACATAACTCAAAAGCGTAAAGGTATCGCGACTTGTCAATTTTACAACTTTATCATATTTTGCATGGACTGGCTAACATTTGGTGAAAATTTGATGAAAATCGGACAGATTTTGAGCGCGCAGTAGCGATTTTCCACAAAACGCCAAAAAGGGTGTCCTGTAACCTTAATTAAATCAAATTTCTCCTAAAACAGCAATCAGGATTTAAAATGGCTGCCGGTGGTCGCCGACATTTTCACAGCACTATAGCCGGCAACTTCTAAATTAGCAACAACGAGTTTTTCTTCTTAACTTATTGATCTATACAATGAATTTTGTCTTGGTATAAAAAGATCGCGTTAAGCATTCTGGTAGCCATGAACAAGGTGGGAATCGTATAACTGCAGTATAATGAAAATCAATGCTCAACATAATGCATGTAAGAGCCATGGACGAATCGAATCGTTCGTTAGTAAATATTTTAAAATTTCATTCTGTGATGGCCCTCATTAATAGCAGTTTCCAATAGGTTAAAAGGTGGTGAATTTTGGTTAAAACAGTATAGCTTCTACAGTTAGTTATCATGTTTAGTTTTCATGAGAGTTTCCTCGACTTTTATTCCTTAAAGCTTACTTTTTACAGCCATCTTTGGGACAGCTCATTGATTGCAGTCGAAATCTTTTAAGAATCAAGCAAGATACGAAAAATTTGCAACAAGATTTTTTAGATAATTTTTAAATGTTCTTTCAAATAAGACAATACGAAAAGTTGTTCCCATTATTCTTTAAGTCTTACACCTGATTAGTTGTGCTCCGAGATCAGACATGGATCGTCCAAGCCTTCGACCCAGTCACGTCTTTGGTTTGAGCGTGCGGTTGCAAGGACAGATGACTAGCACCTTTACGGCTTTATACCCATATATAAGCAATCGTTGCAGTTCTTACTTTTAGCTTTCTTGAAAATCCAATCCCAGCTATCAACAACTTGGGCTCCAGGCATCCCCCGTCTTGCCTCAGGCTGTTCCCGCTCCCCCTTGCCAGAGAGGAGTGCAGCAAGTTGTTCTGTGGTACCATCTCCAACCGCGCTATGTCCCATAAACACATACGCCTGAAGTACATCTCGTATATACCCGTAGGACTTCGGAAGTTTCCGTTGTGCGTGCCCGTTTGAGGTTGAATCCATGGCAAAGATAACTACATTCAAATCTAGCTCAGTGTCGCTTGCTTGTTTCCCATTTACCTTTGCTGGAGGTAGGACTTGAAATAAATGCTCCTTAAGAACGTCGCCATTTGTAAGTTTTAATGTTAATTCGATGAACTCGTGATTGATGGACGCTGTTTTACCCTCCACTGCCACTGGTTCGCTCAGTTCCCATTTAAAATCGTCGCTTTCCGGACGGTGGACGGTTTGATAGGAGGCAGCAAGAATGTCAGTGCCTAAATTGGATAAGAAATTGATTAGATGTTCGTGTACATAAATCATATTCACCTGAGTACATATATGTAACATCAACACACACACAAAGTATCATATCTTAGAATACATTGATATTGCGAAGGAACTAGACTCAGTTCCGAAATATCACCAACTTGAACCGACTTTACCTCGTAGCTCATGTAGTTGGTAGAGCATTGGACTAGTAATATCAGGGTTCGTAGCGGTCTTTGAAATCCTTGAAAGTCTTTAAATTTGAATTCTTTGAAATCCTTGAAAGTCTTTGAAAAGTCTTTGAATTGTGTGAAAAAGTGAAGAAAGTCTTTAAAAGTCTTTAAATTCTTTAGTGAGTATTTGATTATACGATTCCCTAGCTAATAAAATAGATTGATTGAAGCAGGATTTTCGCAAATATCGACGAAAAGGCACATTTTAGGATGTGATTTGGCGGGACTATACCGGGTAAAAATGGTGCTTACACTCGCAATTTTTCGACAGCTGATTGCTCTCAAAGCTCTTTGAAAAAAGTCGTTGAAAATAGGCAGAAAAAATCTTTGAAAGTCTTTGAATTTTTTTGTCTTGGAAACTACGAACCCTGAGTATCTCAAAGGTCGCGGGTTCGATTCCCATCTTGGTCAGGCAAACTTTTCAGCTTGCCCGGTGTGGAATGTGGATCGGTGGATGCACACTCAGAGTAACATCACAAACATCATATTCACCTGAGTACATAACACCAAGTCACCAACACACACAAAAATGGACAATTTGCATGTTAGACTAAATTTTAATCTAAGTAAAGAGAACGGAATCAAACACCACAGCTAAAAAGAAAAGAAAATAGTTTTGTTTGTGGAAACACCACGTAAATTTACGTGGTGTTTCCACAAACAAAACTATTATATTTTATCGCCATGCAAACATACAAAGAACTTAAAAAGAAAATAATGAAATAACAATTTCCGCACGTAATACAAACATGTACAAAACATGCAGACTTCGCAAGGCTATATTTTCCGTATTTTACAACATTCCGTAAGCAAATTTTGCAATTTTACTAATTTTAATAAGTTCTTTACGGGAATTTATTATTTTTGCCCAGATCAGAAATTATTGTAACATGCAAGTTGAATTTTATATGCGTTAACAAAAGGCATGGAGATTTCTCTCAGGTCAGTCTCCTCGGCATTGTTTTACTTACCAAAAATATCCAGCTTCCCTCCACTTAAGGTGGCTCTTTTCTCAGTCTTACATCGTATTGGTTTCTCGTAATTCTTCACCAGTGCCATGACGTCAGCGTGAAATGGATCTATTTTCGGAATACGGCATTTTTCGAAATTTTTTACATCATTCGCCGCCTTCGTGATCGGTTCCGCGCAATAGTTCTAGGGAAAATGTGTTTTTCGAATATGTTAATTAATGTATAAAATTGTCGGAAGCGTATCAAAACCAATGGACTCTATGTAAACTGGGGATTGAAGCCAGTGCATTTTAGTTTTTCTGAGTTTTGAGCAGAAATACTCAACACTGAACGTTGTGCTGTATATAAAACTGAGGCAATTGAAAAACGCTATTTGGTGTAGAAATTTCAAGACTTTACCTAAAAGGGAAATATTTAAAAACTACAAATATAATTGCCGATAATTTGCCATTTTTTGGCCGAATGGCAGTTGTTTTTATATTTTTAAAATATTTTTATTTTCGCTGAAGTCTTGAAATTTCCACACCGAATAGCAATTTTCAATAGCTTCAGTTTGATATATAGTCCAACGTTTGGGATCAAGTATTTCAGCTCATAAGGGACGGGTCATTACTTATGGCGGGGGGTGGCACCGAAGAGAAAAAGGTTGGGTAAACAAAATTTTGAGTGAGTAAAAGGTTGGGTAATTGAAAAACAAAACAACTCAAGGGTTTGGTAATAAAAATTTATTGTCATTTCCAAAGCATGACCCACTGAAATATTGGAGACTGAAAAGCAATGCCAACAGCTAGTCATTTGTCAATACAATATGTGAATCAATCAGAGTCACTATCTTGATCATTTAATTTTGACAAAACAAATTGTGTTTCCAAAAAAGTACATGTGCAGACAACATGAAACTTTAGACTGCAGAAAATTTCACAAGCCGTTATCTGAAACTCATGTCACTGAAGATCAGGACATGTATGACAACTGAATGGTATCATTTTGTTAAGTTTTTGGCCAGGGGTGGGTAGTTATGTTTTAATTGATATTTGAGGTTGGGTAATCAAATTTTTGTCTTTTTAATGGTTGGGTCAGCAAAATTTTTGACACGGAAAACATTTCTCTTCGGTGCCACCCTCCGCCATAAATAATGACCGGTCCCTAACTCAACCTCGTACCCAGGATCTTTGACCCTGGGAACGAGGTTGCTCATAACTCAGAAAAGACTATTTTGGCTTCAGCGAATCATGGGCTTTGTTCACTGAACCACCAACAAAACCACTCTCCTCCGCAGAGTCATATAGGATTGTAGGGATAATGTAGGGATAGGAGAGGACATTTAGTGGTGCGCGACGGGGGGGGGGGGGGGAGACCGATAGTTCACAAAATGTAGCTTCCGTCTTCCCATCATACCTTGGG